CTGAAAACCAATTGACAGTAAATAAAAACGTAAAAATTTTCTTTTATATAATAAGAACCATATTTCTTATCACTACATTACAAGAATTGGTTTTTTTTTTTTCAAAAGAAACCTTGATTATGTACAAGAAAATTAAACTAAGTATTAAAAGAAATTAGGGTCAGAAAATGTATTATAAAAAAAAGGAAATCATAATGAAAAACGAGATGGTTTTTTTTGTGTATGACGAAAGAAACTAGTTTAAAACTGGGATCATTGTAAACATTGAAATGCTCTATGATGGAATTTTTTTTTTTTTCTTTTTTTGAAAAATAATTCGCATACAAGGAAAAAACATGTTTATCTTAAATCATATGATAAATTCGTCTTGTAGGTATCGTGTCAACATTCATCACGATTAGTGATAGCAAGTGTATTATCATTTCCGGTAGTCTCATAATCCATCTGCATTTTTTTCAAATCACGATACGAAGGCGAATCTTTATAAGCAATTCCAGCCTTCATAGCAGCCGCTAATCCTACGAATAAGGCATTTCCAACTTTTTCGTGCACATTATATTGTTGATCAATTTCTAAAGCTAAATTGATACCAGTTCTAGAAATTTCCCAAGCTTTATCTTGCAGACCGTAGGCTTCATCAATAGTTTTAATTTTATTCATGGTATAATTAACAGTAGCCGATATAGCATCAGGAATTGGCGATTGTTTAAGTGCTACAGCGCTTGTGATTGCAGCTTGAATAATGTGTTGCGATATTCCAGGACCTTCAGTTCTGCTACGTTCAGAGGTAGAAGAAACTTGACCATTTTTAGAATTAGGATTTTCGTTGACCTCTTCAGTTAAGCCTGTGCGATCCATAAAATCTCGTAATTTCGCTACCAAGGCTTCCTTTCGTGATTGATCAGCATGAACTAAAAAAAGAATATAAATATTTAAATATTTAAATATTGAAAATATCACACATAAATAAAATTATATATATATATATAACTAAAACGTACTTGGAAGAGCTTCGAGCATATGTTCTAAACCGAGTAAGTAGAGATCCAATGCACAATCAGGATTTCCTTGATGATCTTCTTCAACAGCAAAAGCAGAGAAAGCAATGGCTTGATCGATTTTTTTTCTGTTTAATTTGTTAGAAGGTTTCTTTCTTCTATGAGTATGCGATACAGCAAGTGATTGTGAAGCAGGTACATTAGCCCCAGAATTACGACGATTATTGTTTGATGTAGTTATAGGTGAGGGTAAATTTGCTCTAGTAGTAATAAGGCTACCCATGTTACCAACTTCCGGATTAGAAGCGATGGCTGTGGAAAGGGAATTTTTTTGCACAGATTGTTGCTTTTGATGAGCCACCCGTCGAGAATTATGGGTTGGCTGTTGAGGAGCAGTTGGTGAACTCAAATCATTTGTATCAGGGGAAGTTATGTTTTCTTGTTGACTAAAATAACCACTTAAAGGAAGCATAGCTAAAGAGGATGATAAAAGTTGAGTAGGAAGAGAAGATGGGATGGTTATATTACTAAAAAGACCCTTGGTATCTTGAGCATTTGAATTATGATAGGAAAAGGCGGTTGGTGCATCGAACATTTTTTTTTTTTTTTATTGATGATAATTTATTATATAACGCAACTATAATGTAAGTTATTTAGAAAAAGGACGTCAATAAAATTTTTAAAAATCCAGGTATCAAAATCGACTCTGTTAAATGAAAAAAATCAAAGGTATTTTGCGAACGTAAGAGCTATTTATCTACGAAATGATAAAGTGAATGTATGAATACGCAGGTAAGGTACAGTAACGATATTGGAAATATATATATATAAAAAAAAAAAAAATAGGTACGTATATATACATACGTATTTATATTGCATAAATGAATAAGGTAAAGTAAGCCGTGTTTAGGTTAATTGTATTAATTGTATTAATTGTATAGATTTGGTATGTATTAAAATGCACCGATATGTCACATTATCACACCATTTTCTTTCTCTGCTCGTTTTGATAAAAGTAGACCGAATAGATAAAATTTTCAAAATCGGATTCAGGGTCCACTTTATAATTATCAGAAAGAGAAGCAGAGAAATATTTAATAATACGGATAATGATTATAATTAATTATTTATAAAATCAGGTGGTAGAATAATCCAAAAAGAAAAACATGTTAATGCATGATTGGTTCATTTAAGAACCACAAACAAGCAACGTGTTCAATTCGCTTTCACAAACAAAAACTTAACCGAATGGCGATGCTAAAGACATGCATTAAACGATTCGCTCAAGAACAATGGCAAAATAAAGTTTTCTATATTATTAAAGAATGTATCGTAAAGAATAAAGCCTTTGAATGATAAATAGGAAAAGTAACGAATATTTAGATTTAAAAAATAGTTAAAAAAAAAAACCTTTAAAAAAAATTAAAAAAATGTTGCGGTAGATAAGATGCATCATATTTTTTTTTGGTAAGTGATATTTAATGATCTGGTGTGACGGTTAATTGAGTGTTTACTTGATCTGAACGCAGTCCAACAAGAACATACCATTTTAAGTTGCCTTCATTTTAATACCATATATATATAATAAAATAACGTTCGAATCTAGATCTACTTTAAGACCAGCCACGCACTTTGTCGCAGTAGATTTCTCTAAAGGTTTTGTGTATGTTCGTTTGATTTGTGATCGCGGTTAAGGTTAATCACATTCAGGAACATTTGATTTCATGCTCATTTTAATAATAATAGGAGTTAAGAGCATATTCGGATGACTAATATTACGTCATTATATTAGTACCTATATCATGTACATCTGTATATATCGTATGAACTTTTTTTATTTTAAAAAAAAACTGTGACGCTAATGGATTTATTTATACTTAATATACTTTAATATACCTTAATATACTTAACGTTAATATGCTTAATATATTTATTTAAATATATAAGTAAATATCTATACTTTTGTGATCAGCTGTTGTTTACAGGACTAGGGACGATCCCGGGCGTAAATCTTGAAAAATAAAAAAGAAAATGATTTTCTATAATTCTTATAGCCATTATTGTTATAGGCTCTAAATATATTTATTCATCCATTTCACATAAGATTACACAATCATCACGCCTAAATATTTTAATATATCTGGTTTGTCTTGTTTTCTTGATCTTGTATTATTTTCTAAACTTTTAAACAAAGAATGCTTTTCTTCGTTTATCCATTCCGGTCATGCAAGGGTCCGCAATGTCCTTTACGTGCTTTTTGTTCTGTTGTATTCATTATTATCGTCCTTGAATGCTTATCATGCTTTTATATGCTTCTTAATGTAGATTCACATGTGTAAGATCCATTGACTCTATCTTTTATGTATTTCATCGAGTTCAATCTCATTCTTTAATTCCAAAAATTAATAAGCGCTCCATTATGCCTGCATAACCCATTTTATATTTCCTAAATAATATTTCTTGTTGGATTATTTTTGGGGAAGTTTCATTCAATTTTGTAATTATTGAAAGTATCTGACAAATATGTCTGCAAGATTGCTTCGTGCATGTTCTCACGAAAACTGCTGTTTAAAGAAAATGTATTAAACCTTTGTAGCCCTTATTTTCCTACCTTGGTTCTATTTTTCTACCTTGATTCTCTCTTCCTTTTCTACTTTTCTATTTTTCTTCTCGTCGATCTTTCTAAAGGAATTGCAAAGATGAAAAAAAAAGACTCAATGAATATTTACGTGATAAATGTCTTTATTATCTAATCAAAATTAATTGGTTTTATTTTCTAAAAAAAAAGAACAAGTGCTGTTTAAAAAGGAGAATTTTTCACGGAGTGCTTCCTTTGCACATGTAGCTGCTTACGTTAACTGGGTATTTTCAGTATATTTTCAGTAATTGGCTTATCGCAAGTTGTGTAAGGATTATTAGTGGAAACGCTTAACGATCTGATAGTCTTTTCATGTGAGAAGGCGTACTCGATTTCTATGAAATTAAGGAAATGTTTGTCTCAAATAGAACGTCTTTTAATAATATTGATCTAAAATCTTACGTGTGAATTACAAACAATATGTGCTAAATTCAATTACTCTGTAGGATCTGGCAGAATAACCAGTGCCCAAATAGTTCTTTTAGAGCTGAGTCTCTATCATCGCTGATAAACATATTTTCCCGATGATCATATGTTCGATTGTGACTTTTTGTTGGTAGTAATTCAATACATTTTTATATAATATTTGCATTAAATTTATTCTTATTAGTTCGATCTATGAACATATGTTGGGCAATAAAACAATACATGAGATTAGAACAAACGAATCAGGAATATTGGATAAAAAAAAATTTTTCTGCCTTGGATTTTTGATTTGACATATGGGATCTTTGCCTTGAAAATGACCTTACGGTACATGATACCGTAAGGTCATTTTCAAGGCAAAGACCCCATATTAAAACTTTTAGAGAGTGCATTTACTAGTAAAATAGATATTTGATTAAGTTTGAGAAGAGTCATGACGTCTAAATCTCAATAAAACAAAATAAATTCGGATTTGATTATTATTAATAAAAGAAATTGGCTCCCTGGTTAATTGCTCTTGATTTCGATAATAAATTATATTTTTTTTGGTTTCAAATTTGGTATTAAATTATTTTGTTAATAAATTTTACAATGTCTAGAACAGTAAATAGCATGGAGTAATTTGTGTGTTGTACGTAATTAAGTATTCAATAAGTAATACTGTAGTAGTAAAACGAAGACTGTGGTTATACTGAAGATTTAGCTTTGATCTGATCTAATTTTATCAAAACTAAAAAAGTTTTTTAAAATTTAAATTTAGTATAAAATTTAAATTTGATTATAATAACGTTAAATAATTTTTTATATTATTTTGAATTTATATTTACTAATATTTTATTAAATATTTTATTTTATAAACGCAAGTTTATAAATATCAAAAATGCAACTAGCTATATATACAATTTTAAATTGTTTATTTAAGTAGTTTATCTAAAAAATTTATATTTAAAACTAATTTAAAATTTATTTATTAAACTTTTTAATTACAAAATATTAATATTATTTTAATGCATAATTTAAATTTTATTTTTTTAATTACAAAATATTATTTTTAATGCATAATTTAAAAATTATTTTTTGCTTAAATAAATCTACTTAAATTTTAAAATATCTTTTATATTTGCTTTTAGCTTTTATATAATCTATATTATAATATTAAATAAAATGAGGCTTAGTTTATACCAAAATTTTAAAAAATTGTTCCAAGTAATTTTATTCTACTACTATATTTTCAATATATTTAAGTTCAAAATTTGAATATATAATTATAAAGAATAACAGATACTAGTTAGGAAGAAGTTACTAAACATGCAAGTAAAAACATGTGTGGGACATGAATTACTCTGTTAGGTTTATCTCATAGATAAACTAGTTTAAGTTAGTAAGTCCTAAGATGAGTGCAAAATTTATAAATATCATAAAATTCTACATATAAATAGATAAGTTATAACTTGGTTAGAGGTTGTTATTTGGTTAGAAATTAGGTTATAGTTAGAGAGTTTAAATTAGTATTCTATAGTTGAGGTACAAGTACAGCAGATAGTGTAGAACCTTTGGGCAGACTACTTAAATTAGTCACCAAAAGTGCATATGTGGCTTGATATACTCTTATTGTAACTGAGACTACTTTTAAAAAAAAGTTCCCAAATCATAGAAATTACCTTAATACCAAAAATAAATAAATAAATTATAAAGAATCTTTAGCTTAAAGTTTATAATTTGTTACTTGATATAGTATCTTTTTAACTTTTATAAATTTTTAAGATACTGTATAAAATGTAAAAAAATTCACTATAATTTTTTTTTTTTATATTCTCAAAGTAAATTTCTTTCAAATTTAATTATACTAAAATATTTAATTATTGTTTCTTTTTTTTTTAAATTCAACTTTTATTAACAAAATTATTTATTTTTACTATTGTTAAAATTATTTCTAATTTCTTTGCTTTAATTTGACTAAATTTTTACAATATTCATTAGTTATTATAGCTTTATAAACTTGTAAGAAAGAGTATTTTTTAAAGATTTGTTAATATTAGTTATAATTATTTTTTTTAAAACTAATATTTGTATTTTTTTTATTTTTATTTTTTTAATACTTTAACAGTCTTGCTAGTACTCAAATAATCAAAAAATTTATTTATTTAATTAATAATAAAAAAAAATATTATCTAAAACTGAACAAATTGTTTTCTTTTTAATTGCAAGCCTGATATTATCTGGTTGCAATAAATGTACTTAGTTGTAACTTTGTTTTATTGCATGGGTCTTATATAACAACCTGTACCTTTTATATTTACTTATTAATACAGAATTGTACTCAAACACCATGCAATAAAATAGTTATTATATGGGTTATAAAATAACTAAATTTGCATGGTATGACCTTTGGCCATGTAAACTATGCAAATTTAGTTATTTTTTACAATCTATATAATAACTATAACATACTAACTTGTATATAAGTTGGTTAAACTTTGTTAGCTTATCGAATACTAATTTTTTTAATTTTCCTTTCTTTATTAAAAGCA